ATTATGCTAAAACAAACACTCATAAACCAGCACAGCTAAAATTATGGGACGTGAAATGGTCTGTTTACTAGCGATCAGCTGATGGGAAGATGGGGGGGAGGTGAGGTGATATGTTTGACAGTTGATGCCAAGGTCTAGTGCTTATTTATTTATCTGTCCTTAAGAGTGACTGTTAGATTGTGAGATGGAGTATCATCGTACGATAGGTTTTCCCATGTGTGGAGGCGGGAGTTTGTCTGTGGCAACGCCGGGTTGCCAGTAACTGTCTGACGCTGCAAGAGTAAAGTCTCCAAAGAACCTGGTCTATTATTCAAACCTCTCACAGTGACTTAGTTTTTCTCTTATAAAATGTCACTGAACTGACATGGGAGAATATAATTAACATTGCTGGAATTCTTAAAAGATAGTGATTAATTTGAATATATACATGCTATAGTTTGCATTAGACATACAAATTTTAGTTTTAATTAATTTTATTACAAAGGGCTAAAATTTTTATGTCTTGTGCAAAATATATGACATTTATATTCAAATTATTCGGTCTTACAAGGATTCTAGCAATGCAAATTATATTCTCCTAACTTTAGTCTGTGATATTATATAAGATAAAAACTGTAAGCCTATAACCACCCAACCCTGGCTGGGAGGATGAGACGGGAGGAGGTTTAGTGACATGTTTGACAGTTAGCACCGAAGGTCTAGTGAAGTATTTATTTGTTTATTTATGTCCTTTAGATTGAGTTTTTGTTTTTTGTTTATAAAATGTCATAGAAGTGACCGGGGTGAATATAATTTACATTGCTGGAATTCTTATAAGATATAGGTACTCCCCGACTTACGTCCACCCGCACTTACGACCGCCTCAGTTGTACCAAAATGTGGTCAAATTATGTAATTTTGAGTCCCAAAGTCAGTACACAGACAAAATTTTCATCTGTAATTCACTTTAAAATGGCTGGCAAGCATAAAAGTGAGTGTTTTGTGGTGCTGAGAAGAAAAAGAGACCCAAATTTTCGATTTTCTATGTGTTATTTAAGCATTTCCGACTTACGACCTGGATGTCAGTCCCTAACCCCGTCGTAAGTCGGGGAGTACCTGTAGTGATTAATTTGAATACAAACATGCTATAGTTCACACTTGACAAAAATTTTAGTAATCATTTAGTACATTATTTTGAGTACATGTACAGTACAGCTTTGCCCTTAGGACAGTGTAGCGTGCCCAGAGAAACATTAGGCGCGAATTTTAAAATATGATGCGCCAGATTGACTCGCGCAAAATAGGAAAGATTTGCTATAAATTAAAACATTGTCCTTAATTATGGGTTTCGCCTTAAATCAATAATCTTAAATTGAATCGCTTTAAATCGACGTTCTACTGTAATGGAAGTCAATGAGGAAATTGGTTTCGCATTACGGAATTTCACGTTACAGACAAATTTTCAAGGACACATATCTTCTGTAACTCGGGGGATGCCTTTAACTACCTACTTTTGTTTGTTTCATTTTCATTGTTTGTCCGTTTTATCATGTTGTACCAAAGTAATATTGTATTGTTATAAGTAGTGTAGTTGTGTTGTAGTATTACTGGAAAATAATGCTATAATTATGTTATAAATGAATTTATTTGTGGAATTATTATTATTTTATGCATTACTTGCTCTACCAAACACAAAGACAGCCAGGCAGACTGCTGATTGACTGGTGAGTGTTTGCCAAGCATTTTTTATTAAAAATAATGCAAATAAAATGCTCTAAATTAATTATTTATGGGAATTAAGTATTATGATCAATAAAAATATACATTACTGCCCATCCTGGACACAAAGACAAGGAGAAAATGGCCGCTAAGTGAGTACAGTAAAAGTCCAAAAATCCGGACCACCCGAGAATCCGGACTTTTCGAAAACTTTCAAACTTTTTAAATTTAGCGGGCTTTTGTGGGTTACGTGAATGAATGGAGTTGCTTTAAAAAAATTAATTTACATAATTCTAATAATAAAAGTAATTGCAAATTATAGGTAGCTAATTTTGTTAGTTTTGTAATTAGCTTGTCCTGAAATGTAAAATTTGAGGCACTATAAATCTTTTGTGTGTACCGTATGTGTGCATGCGTGAATGCCACAGCTGCACAGCGACAACAAACGACCACACGATCGCCACTTTAAAACAAGCAATCAAACTGTGACAATGTATGTAATTTTGAGTCCTACTCTTTCCATTTACAAGCCCATAATAATGGCTCCTTAAATAGATAAACTTTGTTGTGTGAAGAGAAAGAAGAACACATTGAAATTGAGTAACAAACTTGAAATAATTAAGAAACTAGAACCTGGTGTGAGCAATACTGTGCTAATGGAAACATACGACATTGGAAAGTCAACAATTTATGATATAAAAAAGGCAAAGAATAAAATTTTAGAATTCACAACTTCTTCCGAGCCTTACAATAAAATTGCTGAAAGAAAAAGTTTACATTGCCCCAAATTAGAAAATCTTGATAAAGTGTTGCACAAATGGTTATTGTTAAAACGATCAGAAGGTATGTCAATTTCTGGGCCGATGCTTATTGCCAAAGCAAAGTCTTTTAAGGAGCAAATGAACATTGAATCAGAGTGCGCATTTAGTGATGGATGGCTTAGGAATTTCAAGACTCGTCATGGTATTAGACAGTTAGATATTGCTGGAGAAAGACAGTTGGCTGATACACAAGCAGCAACAAAATATAGTGCTACATTTGAACAAATTGTAAATGACTATGATCTCATAGCCGATCAAATTTATAATGCTGATGAAACAGGGGTTTACTGGAAGTGTTTGCCCACAAAACCTTTGGCTGGAAACCAAGAACGAAATACAACAGGGTTTAAGCTTAATAAGGAAAGATTAACTGTTCTTGGATGTGCTAATGCTTCAGGTCAGCATAAAATTAAGCTTTTGGTGAGTGGCAAATTTAAGCGCCCACGGGCCTTTATAGGAATTGTGCACTAGCCTGTGACCTATAAAGCACAAAAGAGTGCTTGGACGGACAAAGACATATTTCGCGATTGGTTTGTTCATGATTTTGTTCCATCAGTTCGTCAGAACCTAAGGAAATTGGGGAAGCCTGCAAATACAAAGTGCCTGCTTCTTCTCGACAACTGTAGGGCCCACCCGCATGAATCAAAATTAGTGTCTGATTGCGGGAATATTTATGCATGTTACTTGCCACCAAACGTAACATCATTGATTCAACCCATGGATCAAGGAGTCATTAGGAACTTTAAATGTCACTATAAATGATTTTATGGCGAAAATGATGGATAAGAATGTCAACCCTACAGAATTTCAACGCAGTTTTACGATCAAGGATGCAATATTTTCACTCGTGACTGCATGGAATGCAGTCAAGCCTGAAACACTTTTAAGAGCGTGGCGAAAGTTGTGGCCGAAAGTGATGTTTGCAGATCTAGAGTGTGATCGAGACAAAGATTTTGAAGGATTCCACATAAAGCAAAGGGCATCTGAAGTGCAAGAACTGATGGAGACTGTTAAATTATCTCTGGAAGACAACCCTCTACGGAAGCTTAATGCTGCTGAAATAGAAGAGTGGATACACACTGACGATGATATTGAAGTTGCATCCACTTTCACTGATCAAGAAATCATTGAAAGCATTACAACTCCTGAGAAGATAGAAGAGAATTGTTCAGAAGAATCTGGTGAAGAAGACGACAAAGTTGAAGAAAAGATATCTTGGGCTGCTGCAAAAAAGGGCATTGAAACAGTTATTAAATTTGTGGAACAGAACCAGCTTATTCAAAATTTGGTGCAGAACAAAGAAATTACAAAGTCGTAAACAAGGTGATATACGAAAGTATTTAAAGAAAGCAGTGTCAAGCAGTGCAACAGATGCTGTAGAAACTGCAAGTGTTCCATCCACAAGCAGTGCAGCAGACGATATAGAAGTCGTGGAAATCAACGAATAAATATTTATTTGTTGTTTTGTACTTTGTATTTATAGGAAAATGTTTCGTTAATAAACTACAAATAAATAATCAATTTGTATAAAATAAATTCTGCTTTCATTTGTTTACTGTATTTTTCTTTTACAATGTTCATTTTTAAACATGATTTCAAACATTACACGCCCCTTTTTTCGTAGTGAAAAATGTTTGTTTACATTTTTGTCAAGTGTTAACTTTATTTTTCTTTAAAACTGCTCGTTTTGATAAATGAAGCATGCTGTATTTGCTAATGAATAAACTATCAAAATGTACCTGTTCATCTCTTCTTTATTCCTCCTTAAATTTGAATTTTAAAAGTACTGCCTGAGAATCCGGAAAATCCGAAAAGACCCAATCCCCAAGCAGTCCGGATTTTTGGACTTCTTCTATAGTGACCACGAGCATCAGCCATCAAACAAGCTGTCCCCCTATCTCCCTCCTCCCTGCCAGGGAAGTTTCTAGAGGGGTAATATATAGTTTTTCTTACTTATTTTTTCCCATTTTATCATTTAAAAAGGTTAAAAATTATTTTTGGAAGAATTTTGATTTTTCTCGATTTACCCCCCCGAGTGGGGGCACGGCCAGTGGCACCCTAGCCCGGGGAGTAGGGGTTAACGTAACTTTTAGATAAACTATTCTGAATTATTCTACAGTAGTAAAGAAATGGCATTTCTAAATTAATTAGAACTGCTTTGACAGACTCCGGTAGTTTAGCTTTCGAAAAACATCCCCAGCACCCAGAAACATGCTGGGGATGTGGGTGAGTGTCTGTGTGTGCAAGATGCATAGTTTAGACACACGGAAACTCTTCCCAGTAACCGGAAACGATTCCGGGGTAAAGGAATTTTTCAGGGTTTAAGAAAGTTGTCTCGTTACCCGGAATTCTCTCATCCCCGGGAGTGCTCTGCAGCAATTGTTCTAGCTAAAGGAGATATCACTTAATTCATAAATTCTTTCACTGTAACCATGTTAATAAATATTTTTCTTGTGACATATAATGTAATTACATACTTACCTCTGCAAGTATAATTCTTCTGTAGGCATTTATAAGAGAAAGGTGAAATCCAACGAAGTCAATTTCCAGCTCTTGAGGATCCATCTTGATGATCTCGACTTGACCCTCTACTGAACAACCTTCATTTGGCTTCTTCTTGTTCTTTTTCTTTGCTGACAAATTTGAACTGTCCTTTTCCTGCAAATACAACAATGTTTCTATATAGTATTTGAATAAATGTTAATAAGATCTAAACTCAGTCTTCATAATCTGATACTATACAATTATGGAGTGTATTGATCTTGAGATACTGGGGGTTATGTTGTGAAATATTTAAGACTGCATATGATATCACCACCAGAGAGAAACAATAAGAGGGAAGTTTAGAAAGCAATGACTTGTGCCATAACCTGTCAAATGCTTTGGAGATGTTGAGAGCCACGACAAAAGTTTCCCCATAATCCCTAAGAGAGGATTACCAAAGATGGGTGCAGTAGGAGAGCAGATCACCAGTAGATCTCGCCTGGCGAAAGCCATACTGGTGATCCGACAAAAGAGAATGGCATTCAAGGTGACAGTGAAAATGGGAGTTCAAGATTGGGGCGATACTTAGAGGGATCAGAATGGTCACCCTTCTTCGGGGTGGGCTGAACCAAGGCATGCTTCTAAGAAGAAGGAAAAAAAATGGGTTTTGTGGCAAAGGCAAAAGAGGCAAGCAAGCACAGGGGTCAGAGCTTCAGCACACTCCCTCAGAACACGAGGGGGTATTCTGTCCGGTCCATGCGCCTTACTCACATCCAACCTGGATAAGACACCGGCAACCCTGCGAGTGGAGATTATAGGAAAGTGCGTAGGTTCAGTAGGAGGGATAGAGTTGGAATCATCTAAGGTGGAGTAAGAGGAGAATAAGGTGCCAAAGACATGGGCTTTATCATGGGGAGAGTTGGCTATAGCGTTATCAGGTCGGTAGAGAGGAGGAAAAGAGGGAGTGTAAAAGTTATATATTTTTATAAACAAATGGAGAAAAGACCATTTGAGGTTTGACAATTTAACCCAACAAACTAGACAGCTCCAAGGCTGTTATATAAAAGTTCCCCAAACTAGTTATACAGGTGGCAGCATAAAAGAATGAACCTATGACTCAGATCAGTGTCCATAACTGTGTTACAAGAACCGCCGTCAATGAATTATTAAATAACAATGACGATCCTCTGTGTCATTCTCCATAGTGAACCAGAAGATATACCGTATATACCCTCGTGAGACATTATATGTTGAGTCATCCATTTCAATGTGCAATCTTTTTTTCTCAATAACATTTAACAAGTGAGTTATCAATAATTCACGGTATTGTGGCAACACTTGCTCCAGGTGGTACCCTCGCCACACCCAGAGGATGTGACTACAGTTGTTTAGGCTACCTATTCACCAACAACCTGGTCAGCGCATTCTTTCGCTCAGCGAGAAGGTAAACCCTCTATAGCCCCAGCCAACTCCACCCCACCCAGTGAGCAGCTGTTTAGGCTACCTAAGCAGCTACAACCCTGTCATCATTAAACATCCTGTGAGCGCTGTTCTCTGCAAATCTTTCGTTCACTATCTACAGGACGTGACTCGGTCAACTCCCAGAGTGATGCAACACTACCAAGGCTAATTCGCGATACTCCTGGTGGACATCACAAGTTGTTTACCGAGTGTTTGCTGTTAGTAAACAAAGTGTTTAGTAATTCCCTTGTGCAACCAGCAAGTTCCTTGTATACAGGGCAACCACTGACCCGTATCACCCAGTCGATGCCAAGAGGTCTCCTGATCAGCATCTTTGAGAAGCACCCTGTGATCCCTCCCAGTGATACATGCAGCCAGTGAACGAGGGTCAGGCGGCCAGGCGCATCTTCAGGGTTTAAGTCATTGAATTCAGTCGTCTTGACAACAAGTGGACTCACCCGACGCCATAAATGGACTCGCCCGTCGCCATCTTGGAACGTCACCAGGTTGTCGTAAGGGCTGGGGACAATACCATCATCAGTCGATGACTTTCCCCGCTGACAAAAGCTTCTTAATTTACACGTTGAAAAAACACCTTTTTTTTTGCATTTCCACAGAAAAACAATATCTCCATTGCATTAAGCATAAATTTTCAGTCCAGGAGTCATTTACTAGAATGTAATAGAACCTGATCTGGTTAATATTTGGATCTTGACCATTGCTACTTTGGCAGACACAATTGGTCTCATTTTGTTCAATACTTGATGCTTAGTGCAATGTAGATGGTACAGTATATTGGTATTGTTCCATTTTCAACCAATATGCAACTTAAGGTTAGGTTAGGTTAGAAACAAGTGATTTCCGACAAAAATCAAAATCAAAATTGAAAAAAGCAGATGAAAATCACCATAAATTCTCAACTCAAGAGCCATTTTGGTTGAAAATGCAAATTTAACGCCTTTTTTGGTGGACAGATAAAAATGCATTTTTTACGTTACAATGATCATTTTCCATTGAAAAACAACAAATATTGAGAAAACTGAACCTGAAATAGTGGAAATGATAAGTGTCTAAAAGTGATCTTAATTATGGAAGTCAGTTTTTGTCAGCGGTGAAAGTTATTGACTTAAGATGGAATCGTCCCAACCCCTCTGAATGGTAAGGTTAGCTTCGGTTAGTTAAAGGGTAAAATATTAATTTCAGTCAATCCTTTATTCAGATATCCTAACCAAATCTAACTTAACCTAACCATCCTAACCTAACCTATTCCCAAAACCCAGGAACTACTGTATATCTAACCTAACCGGGAGGTTTGCCCTCGCAGGCCCCGCCTAGGATTCCCCGGATGACCGAAACTAAAATAATACCTAGGCAAGGTTAGTAGGGCTAAACTGGAGGACTTTACAGCCGATGCATCATTTGTTTTGATGTTTATATTCTTACTATATTCTGATCAGTGAGTTCTGATATAATAATCATTTTTATAGAAATCACTGTTTGGTAAATAATTAGGCGTCTAGGCTTGTACTACTTTGTCTGGGGCACACTACACATTATCTTTCTCATCAGTGATGCTGCTGTACACAGCCAATCATTTACGATCGACGCCAGTAGTCAGTGCATGTTTACAAGCAACACTGTCCGGAGAGCTGCTCTCACAACCACAAAAAGCGTAAAATTACACCATATAATAGTAAGTTCCATCTGTTTAATATACCAGGGGTTCCGGAGGGTTTAGCTTCATGGCTAGGAAGTTAGATAAGGTTAGGTAGGTTTCTTTAGTTAGGTTGGTGAGGTCTTCTAACAAAGCTTCTGTAGCTTGGTTTTCCTATCAACTATGGTTAGGTTAGGTTTAATTTAGAAATAAACCCATTTAATACATTTGTCACAACTATGACAGTGTCCACTATAAAACACAGTGAAATTGCAGCGCTTTAAAATTCGTTTTCCATGAAAAGTAAGTGGCTATGAAGTCATAAATAATTACCAAAAAAGAATAACTCCATTGCATTAAGCATCAAATATTGAGCAGAATGAGCCCAAAATTGTCCGCCAATCTAACAAAAGTCAAGGTCCAAATATTTACTGTTGCCTCTTTTAAAATACTTACTATAACGATAAGAATATCTGTGGAAAAAACGGTTAAATTTTTACAAGTTGCCCATAATCTAACAAATTAATGTTATTTTCTCAAACACGAATCAGTTGCGATGGAAAGTTACAAAGAAAAGTTGTTAGAAATGACGAGAAATACTGCACCCAAAAATATTGTGAAACATTATGGGCAACGTGTAAAAAAAAATACCCCAAAATGGACAAAACCGAACAACTCCTTCTGGTGGCAGTGGTGTTCTCATACATTACTGGTTAATGTTGACCACTGACCTGCATATGAGTTATTTGTTTTGCTGTTTACTTTCTTACTTTACTTTCATCAGTGAGTTCTGATATGATAATCATTTCTTGTGCAAATGCTTGGTTTTGTAGATAATTAGACACCTAGGGTGCACTACTTTGTCTTCCCAGAGGTAAGTCTCATCCCAGGATGTAAACAGCCAATCATATTGATGTACAGTATTTCAAAACACTCTGCAGCCCGGGCTTGATCAACGTCAATGCTCAGTGTATGCTTAAGAACCGTTTGGTATGGACAGCTGCTCTCACATCCACAAAAAATGTAAAATTACACCATACCATGGTAAGTTCTTTCTGTTTAATATACCGGGGGATCTGGGTGGGGGGGGGCAGAGCGCCCCAGCTTAGAAGTTAGGTAGGTTTGTTTGGTTAGGTTGGTGAGGTCTTCTAACAATGCTTCTGCTGCTTGTTTTTCATAATCATCTAAGGTTAGGTTACATATTTTAAAAATAACCACTGTGTCCACTATAAAACACAGTGAAATTGCGGCTTTTTATAATCGTTTTCTATGAAAAATCAGCTGCGGGTCAGTCATCAATAATTACCACATTACCAACCAAAGTAAACCTGCATTATTAGTATACAGTATTTGTGAACGTAGTGTATATTTTGCCACGACCGGCTAAGTTCCTAATAATGCTATTTTACCGTGAGTGCGCTCTAATTGCCTAAGTACTTTCTGTTTAATATGACCGGAGGGTGGAAGTTGGGTAGGTTTCTTTGATTGGTTCGGTCAGGTTCTATTAGGTTCTAATAAATGTCACCTCTTTTATAATAATAACATCTTTGGAAAAAATAGCCAAAATCAAACAATTCCGGTTATTATTCGGTTTGGCACATCTTCAAATCGCATAGAACCACTTACTTTTAGCCAATTTCTACCTCATATATACATTCCTCAACCCTTGAAGCTTCTTGGAAACGTGTTTCTTTCAGAAAAATTGCACAAGTGAGGAACGTTTAAGAAATTAGATCAATAAATCTCCACCCGCCATTTCTTGTCCCACAGGAGCTAGGTGAGATTAGGTTAACTTAGTGAAAATTAAGGGTCCAAATGTTTGATTTCTGATGTATTTGGATGTATTTTGTTCAGATCTCACATTCGTTTTTTAATGGAAAATAGCCATTGTTGATCAAGGATGACTTTCATTTTTTAATTACTCATTTCCCACAGAAACAAAGGTCAGATCTGAAGAAAACACATCAAAATACATCAGAAATCAAACAACTCGATGCTAAAACAAATAATTACCAAAATTCCTTCTGGTTAGGTGTGTTTATAGCTACACAACAATCGACTCACAGTGAAATAAACGCTAAATGCTGCCAGTGTCACGGTCACATATCATTCTCGTGTTCGCCAGTAAAGGTCGATTAGCGAATCCGACCTCACTCATGGTAAAATACGTTATTAAGAACTTAGCCTGTCACGGTATTTTTTTACAAGTAGACAACCAACGAACCTAACACAACAGATTAGGTTACGTTATGTTGTTAGGTTAGGTTAGATTTGATAGGTTTGTTAGGTTAGGTTAGATTTGATAGGTTTGTTAGGTTAGGTTAGATTTGATAGGTTTGTTAGGTTAGGTAATTTTGGTGCCTTTCAGGGTATTGTAAATATTCGTCCATTGGAAGTTCTCTGGCTTTGGTAGGATATTTTTTTTTACGTTTTTTCAGTGTGTTTTACTCAAATCTGACCTTCACTTCTTGTGCAAATTAGCTGTTTTTGCAAAAATTTTACATTTTAATTTTTAACAGACTGCTAATTTGCAAAAAAAAAAAGGTAAAATTTGAGTCAAACACACCAAAATGGTCCGCATGCTCGCTTTGCAAGCGAGCGGACCCGGGTTCGATCCCCGAGCAGGGTGAAACTATGGGCAAGTTTCTTTACACCATTTGCCTGTCTACCCAGCAGTATTTGGGGACATGGATGTTAATCGATTTGCGGATCTTATTCCAGAGTAATGGTTAGCCAGTGCAGTTGGCGAGTTGTCCGGTCTTCTCGGACTATTCCTTGACACTGGGTCATGCAGCTCGTTAACTCAGGGTGTGGTTGTTGTGTTGGCAACAGCTTCTACACCTTAAACAAGTTCACGCCTAGGTGGCCCTAGGGCCGGCCATCCTCGTTACACGAGGGGCAACCATTATTATTTGCACAAACTATGTGTCCACTATAAAATAACAGTGAAAATCCAGCGTTTTTATAATCGTTTTCAATCAATTTTGGCCGCGGGTAAGACCTATATAATTGCCCAAAGAAAACCTGGTAAAGGTGTAGACAACGGGTACCACCAGAAGTTGTTTGTTGATTTTCTTTATTTTTGTTGTACTCATTCTTTTGGTGATTTTAAGCATACTAAGAGAAACAACAACTTTCTATTATAATTTTAAGTATTTTTATTTTGTTTTATTTACTGTATCCCGCTTCAAATTCTCCCGGCGCCATTTGTGTTGTTTACCTCGCTGAATCCCTCTTCAAGAGACATTTCCTATTAATGATGGTGAACGCTTCCACAAATTCCTCCTCGTCATTGCTGATGTGTATCAACCTCAATATTAAGGTAAGTTGTTCAAAACATAAATTTACATGATAATGCATAGAACCTGACCTAACATACCCAACCTATGGGCATGCTAGGTCAGGTTCTATTAGGTTCTATGCATTGTCATTTCCATTTTTGTGTTTAATATCATGATATTAGTGGGTTGAAAAAATTTCAACCAATTTAGACAATTCCCTCTGGTGGTAAGCTGTTATCTACACCTTTACCCAAAACCTATTCTCATACCAAAGGAACCAACCATTTTACTTTACTTTTATCCTCTTCACCACTGATCGGCGTGTTAGCCGTTTGGGCGATCGGTCACGTCTCTGTTACGCACTGTTGGCAAGTACTGGGCATGCACCGGCTCCCGAATGTACCTGAACCTGCTCCAGTATTGGTCAAGTCTGGTCTTGAAAGAGCTCACACTCGGTGCCGTCACAACACTTTCTAGTAAATTGTTCCAAGAGTTCACAACTCTCACTCCGAAAAAGCTTGCCCTCACAGATTTCTGGACCTACGGCTTCTTCAATCTTGAGCTGTGACCCCTTGTGGGGCGAGCGTCCACCAGCGCCAAGTAAGGACACTCGACTGAGTAGTGCCCCTCGGTTACGTCGCCCCTTGCCCCCCTGTAGTATAAGCTAGGCAAGTTCAGTCACTCCAATCTCTCAGGATAGTTGAGGTGTCGAAGTGCAGGAACCAGTCTGGTGGCCCTCCTTTGAACATTTTCAACCAACTGACAGTCCTTAGTATATCTCGGGGACCAGATGGGGTGACAGTATTCCAGATGGGGAAGCACTTCACTCTTGAAAATCGTTGCGAGGGACGGACCGTCTAGATATCTGAACGACCTTCTTATAAGACCCAATAATTTATTTGCCCGATTTACCTCCTTCTCGCAATGGCCCGAGAACTTCAGCTCATTGTCAACATACACACCTAGGTCCTTCTCACATTGTCTCAAATAGGGGTCCGACTAATTACCCAAATGTAGTCGCAATGAAGTAAAATAATGGTCCTAGATGAATAAATCGGACTGCCAATCACTTCTCGACTAGTATTTGGTGTCACAAAGTCACAAAAAATTGGTAAACTTAATTTAATCTGAGTTAATAGATCGAGTGCATGTACCTTACCTTACCTTAGCTAACCTAACCTAACCTAATCTAATCTAATCTAATCTAATCTAATCTAACCTAACACAACACAACTCAGATTAAATTAAGTTTACCAATTTTTTTTTACTTTGACACCAAATAATAATCGAGAAGTGATTCACAGCCCGAATTATTCATGTAGGACCATCATTTGACTTCATTGCGGCTACATTTGGGTAATTAGTCGGACCGCTCAAATAGTGGTTTCTTCATCCCGTTGGGACATATGATAAGCCTCCTTACCATAGGTACGCCCCAGGTGCATCCACTTACACTTCGTGACATTGAATCTCTGCAGCCATTTCTTCGACCCCTTTTGGTTGGTGACCAATGTGTTGCTCAACAAAATTCATGCTTGTCCACTGTAAAAATTTACCCCACTGCCATCTTTGAACAAGTAGACAAGCTGTGTCATTAACGGACACTGCTGCTGTTTTGTCAGTGATACAAAACCTTAAATTATCAACTTACATATACCAACTGAAACTCTTGTAATGTTATCTTTCCCGTCTCCATTTTAAATATAGCCGAGGCAAGGTAGTTCACCCACCCAACACGTGTCTCCCTTAGCCGAGGCAACAACAAACACTATCGGTCGCCAACAGTGTCGTACGAACACCAGTTGATTGTTGTACTACTGTAATACTTGTACGACTGTGACAGCTCATATGTCTGAAAGACAGAGAGATAGACTGAAATAGTTATTTATTAAAATATTCATATCAATTAACGTTTATTCAGTGTGTAAATATCAGTGCAATATAACTGAAGAAAGGCATTAAAAGTCTCTATTAGTGCCCTAAATTATAAAGGATGAAATGTCCATAATACAATTAACTTTAACGCTTCATAAGGCAAAGAAGTTTGCTTTATCTCAGAACCGTACACAATGGTAAACGAATTTCAGTATGTAGGTTCATGTAAACATATGAATGGCTAAGTCAGCGGATATATTTCCTTCCCATTTAATCATCCTTCTTAATTGCATACACACGCTTGCCATCATTAAAATTTACAAATGTGTAATATACACATAAATGCAGAAAAACATATTTTCTGTGGTTAAATCATTCACTGTACGCTATCCTATTGATCTTTGATCATACATATTCCACTGTGTTTCGTTTTTATCAAAAAGCTATTTTCTCCCTCCATCATGAATAATACCCTCAATCTGCTATATCTTTGTGCTAGTTAAGTCATTTTCTTATACTATTGGTTTGCATTAGGTTAGGAATAAACTGATATTTTACTAATTTAATTTGTTTTCCTTAATGAACGATCGCAATTGTCGACCTGAGGCTGCCACCACTGTCTTTATACTTTATAAAATACAAATATATATTTTTTATTTTTACGCAACCCAGCTAATTAAGTATTTATTCCTAAGATTATTATTTTTTTATTTTTCAGTTTTACTTTTAACCTAACTTAACATCAGTAACATACTCTTTATAAAAATGTCCTGTCTGTAGCGAAGAGTACGCACTAAAATATATGTTATCATTATAAAACTTATATAAAAATCTCATCAAAAAGTATTCAATAAGTATTTATTTTAGGGTAAATTTCAAAAGAAAATAATGTAAAGGAAGACTCATACAGAATAAAGTGGATGCTCAATATAGCCATGTAGTATCTGTGAACTGGCAACACTGCCACCACCACCACACGCCGATCAGTGTCGGTGAAACTGTCTCTAAGTAAAGGTGTTTTGTGGTTTTGTGGCATTTTTAAGTGACATTGCACTAATTACACTCGTATATTGATTAGTTTGGTGCATCTTGGCATTTGCTTGTGAAATGGTAAGTACAATTACATGTTCTAAGTTTAATTTTTCGATACATAAGGAAGATACTAGAAATTTCTGGCTTCGGGTCCACTGCATTTCGTTTCTGCAACCTATGCAATTTGCAGTACCCAGATCAATTATGAAAAGGAAAAGTGTAAGGACGTGACTATTTTATCCTCACCTCTGAATTGTACCTGTAATGAAAAGTTGTCGATAATCTGTCTGCTATTTCAACCAGAGCCTCTCTAGTATAAATGTACCTTAAAGGGGTTTTCGTCTAGAATGCCGTATACTGTATATTGTACTGTACAATACGAGTGTCTTGTGTTTTATTAACAAATATATATATATATATATATATATATATATATATATATATATATATATATATATATATATATATATATATATATGTATATATATACACGTTTTCATTGTGGATTTATATATATATATATATATATATATATATATATATATATATATATATATATATATATATATATATATATATATATATTTCATCTACCAAACATAGGTTTGTGTTACTTTACATGTAATGGAAGTAAGAACACTAACGTGTAATTCGTTATACCGGGGTTTTAGTAAGACGATACTGATAGTATTTTAGAGGCAGTTCACTGTTTTTGTTTACATATGTTTACAGTAAGATTCTCCTGTTTTGAATTAACACCTGGAGGTCAGCTGAACCCATAGTAATGTTTAAGTTTAGCTCAGCACTCTTATTACCTTACGAAGTGGAAACATTAATCAAAGTACACCTCACCGTACCAAGATGTGATTTTGCTATTTTCATTACAGAACTTTAAATGTAGTACTTTCACAAAGCCACCTCCCCCACTCCCTCTAAACGTCAACTTTTGAGATGTTGTTCTACAATACCAGCTGTTGAATAAATAAAAGTAATTTTCCATGTCAAAGCGCAGACTAAATATAACTGACTACTATAACTCTCAGGGCGGGCGGGCGGGTCGTGTTGCGTCTCTGTAACAAAGTGTGTTTGGCACTCGGGCCTTCGATGTAGAGCGGCAGAAATTGGACAGTGATTACATAAGGTCGTCAAGATCGTCTTAGTGATGTGAAAGTGTAAATCGATGTAGGACTTTTAATGCTAGACGCGATTGTATTTTTGAAAACTCAATTTCCACCGAGTTGGAGGTACAGCCAGGGTCACAGGCCTATAACCACACAATCACTGCCACATGACAAAGCTTTTATTTTATTTTATTTTTTTTAAGGTGTTGTGGTCACGGCTGTGATAAAGGCCAACCAGGGAGTGTAGTACTGTGCCTTCAGTTAAATCAGTTCATAGTGTCATCAGTGACAGCAGAAGAGACTATAAATAACTTAAAGTGAATACATATTGGCAATCAAGCTGGTAAGGACAACTGCCAGCCTATTCGTGTCATAGGTGCCACAGGGACTTTAAATTTTATTTTGTTTGTGTGCTTTCTCAAGGACTGAATCTGTGTCTATAATACACCACTCACAGGGAGATACAGTGTACACAGTGTTAGTTCATAGTGTCATCAGTGACCGCGGAAGTTGGGTCCTTTGCTTTGTTCAGGACAACAGGGAACCAGTGTGTACTGTTGGGTCCCTTCAGTTTTATCCTCTTCGCCACTGATCGGCTTGTTAGCCGCTTGGGCGATCGGTCACGTCTCTTTTCATTTATATTCTTCACCAAAAGATCGGCTCGCTAGCCGCCCGGGCGATCGGTCACGTCTCTTTTCATTTATATTCTTCGCCACTGATCGGCTCGCTAGCCGCCCGGGCGATCGGTCACGTCTCTGTCACTCACTGTTGGCAAATACTGGGCATGCACCGGCTCCTGAATGTACCTGAACCCGCTCCAGTGTTGGTCAAGTCTTCTCTTGAAAGAGCTCACACTCGGTGCCGTCACAACACTCTCTGGTAGATTGTTCCAAGAGTTTACAACCCTCACTCCGAAAAAGTTTGCCCTCACGGTTTTCTGGACTTGCGGCTTCTTCAATCTTGAGCTGTGACCCCTTGTGGGGCGAGCGTCCGCCAGCTCCAAGTAAGGACACTCAACTGAGTAGTGGCCCTTGAGATGATTACACACCTCAATTAGGTCACCCCTTGCCCGTCTGTAGTATAAGCTAGGCAAGTTCAGGCTCTCCAATCTCAGGGTAGCTGAGGTGCCGAAGTGCAGGCACCAGTCTGGTGGCCCTCCTTTGAACATTTTCAATCAACTGACAGTCCCTAGCATATCTCGGGGACCAGATGGGGAAGCACCTCACTCTTGAAAATCGTTACAAGGGATGGACCGTCTAGATATCTGAACGACCTTCTTATAAGACCCAATAATTTATTTGCTTGATTTATCTTCTTCTCGCAATGACCCGAGAACTTCAGTTCATTGTCAACATACACACGTAGGGCCTTCTCACATTGTCTCAAATAGTGCAGTTTCTTCATCCTGACGGAAGCTCTCAGGAAAAAATAATTTCGCGAGCGGGACCGGCCATCAAAGGCATTTTGAAGAAAACTTGTGGCTCTGGGAACACTTTTATTGTGTTCTCAACTCCTCCTTTAGGATAATTCGTGTGTCTGGGATCACTGCAAGTACATGATACGTGCACCTGCGCTAGTCGTTTCTCTGAATACCAGTCGGACCAGCCCCCATGGACTAACTGACTGACGGACAAGTTTTTGACAAGCCTGTGCTCACAGAACTGATGGATATTTTAGGTCACTCCTGTCTCTTGTGATTTACTGCATTTATAATAACAAACATGTTGCGCAAATAGGATCAACTGAAAATTGGGCACCTTAGCTTATTTTACGTAATTATCGGGCACCCCAGTTTATTTTACGTGAATATTTGGCAACCCAGCTTATTTTACGTGAGTACTGGACACCCCAAATATATATATATATATATATATATATATATATATATATATATATATATATATATATATATATATATATATATATATATATATATATATGCAGAGAGAGTAAAACTAAAACTACAGGATCACCAAGGTTGTAATAGCACCTAATGAGGTGGATTATCGCCATAGAAACCTCAAAAGAAATGGGGAGGAAAATAGAACAATGTGAGGGAGTGGAGGAAGATGTACAGGAAGAATATATGATATGGAACGGCTCGAGCCCACAAGCAGAAATATTCTCCCTTTTATGACACCCCTCGACTTACCATACAGTGTGAACGAACCTTGGCTACCAGCCAATATCAAACGGGATATTGGCCCATCTTAAAGTTCGCCCTAAGCTTATTTCACCCGAAGATTGACCACCTTAACGCTACCGGGGACAATAGTTTAGGTAGAAGGTTCGCCCTCAACTTATTTTACCTCAAGACTGATTTGGTTATTCTTCGGGTGAAATAAACTGGACCATCAATTCAGAAAAATTTTCAGTGTAAAAAATGTACCAAGAACCCGTCCTGTATAACGCTTTCTTTTTTTTCACTTTTCACATTACAAAAACAAGTAACGAACAAAACATTTATATAAATGACGGAAGTCTATTATTTAGTTATTTTTGCTATCAACACGTGGCGACACCAGGCATAATTTGCCTGCTGTGAGAACCAACACAAATAGCTGTACGTGCATTGTGTCCCCAATGATGATAAGCCCCAACCAAAACATTGGAACTGAAGCTCAGTGGTATTTGCACACAAATGGATTTGGGACCACTACGATTTGGACCCACAGGTTTGGGGCCACGAGGACTGGGACCCACTTTGGTTTGGGACCCAATCAACCGTAATAAAACTGGATTTAAAGAGCCAGGCCGTTAGTCATATCCCTGTTTA